TGTGATTGAAAACTATCCAAAGAAAGAGGAATTATCATATCTTAGAATGCTGAATGGAGTACTGCCAAAGACCATCAGCGTTATAGCGTGAGTTTAGTTTACCGTTAGGAGTTCTTTCCAAAGATTTAGTGTTATGAGTCGCCTGTCAATACAAAAACTTTCCAGTTGTTATCGAAATCTTTGGTAATATATGATTTTCGTCCGTTTGATTCTTTCCGTAGGCGTTTGTCCGTGTAAATATAGTATTTCTAGTTGGGCTCCTGTTCCGCGGAATTTTTCCGCCAGACATGCATGCAATATGCGCGGTTTACAAATACAGTCTACCAAGGGCCAATTTGGATGTAGAGGTACCATTTCCATAGATTTTGCGTGAACGAATCAGTTATTGTGGCTGCAAAGAAGTTATTTTCAGGCTATGCGTCGAGCGGGTGCTCTACTCGTTGGCACACATGATTTTAGGAACTTTTGCCAGGTGCTTCAGATTTCATAAGGACCGCCATTCGTGTGTACACGAATTTCAATTTTTAATCCAATTTATGTTTACAGGTAGATATGAATGAAAAGCGTGTCAAAATGTCTTTCGTTAGGGAACTGTTTGAAGTTAGTATAGAACCTGTTAGGTAAGAACGGCAAACTTAACAAATGTTGAGTGCCTTTTCCTCATTCATTCAGCTTATTCAGCAGTTTCTCAACGAATTCGATATCTCGTAATGATTTGATAGAGTTGACTATCAAAGGAAGCGGCTTTTTGTGGCACATGATACGCTTTATTGTGACGGTACTCCATGAAATCGGACTAGGAAACGAGCAGCCGGAGGTGCCACTTCCTTCCTTTAATAGCGTTCATGTGAAATATAATTCTCCGGTTCTAGCTTATACTGGAACTACTCGATGTTGAAAAAACTCCGTGTCGCCCGCACTATAATTTGGCTGCTGCAACTCCTCTATGCCTCTATGAGTGCAGGTAAAACTCGGACCCATTTTGGCAAATCTGGACGATTGCAAGTAACTCTCAATGCATGCAATGGTAGACAAATTTTGATACAGAAACTTGACAATTCTTTTTATCTGTTTTACAGAATATAGTAATAGAGCAAACACGACCGGGAATCGCTCCCACGACATCCTGTCGGTGAGCCCCGCCCACTACTGTAGTGCTCTTTTGCTTTTGAGTGTTCATAGAATCGTTCAGCAAATTGAAAAGGTATGAGAATTTCTAAGAAGCAGCGATGAAGGCGATTCAGTTTTTGCCTTTAAGATGCTCGCCATTTAGATGAGTGTCGCCTGTAGAATATATGTAGGAGAGGTCGCTGTCACAATACATATGAATCTATTTTCCACGAAACACCCTTCAAAAAGGAAGATCGAAAGCTAGTAATGTAGGTGTCGCAAACTCCCATAACCACACATGGACGATAGCGTTTTTTGGCTGCGTGGTAGTTTGGAGCCTGAATGCTGCGCAACTAGAGCTTTCCTAGGTGTGGGCCCACTGTCATGGTATTATTGACCTATTGCGTACCTTTAATGCACAACAAGGTGTATCATCGTTTTCTTTGGTTGTGTTTGACACTTCCTTATTCGAAAACGTAGTAGACCACTGTTTTGGATCCAGAGAACAAATTAAGCACGTGGGGGCTGCATCTGATGTGAAGGAATCAATTATTGGTACCTGTTGTGAAGCACTTTCGTTGCAGCCTCCTGTGCTTTCTTCTGCAATTTATTATCAAAAGGAAACACCGTGGGCTCATGCTTCTGAAACGTTCTAATGAATGTGCGCTTACACCAGACATTTGAACACAACTGAACATTTAAGGGTAAAGCAAATGGCCGTCCGTGCTTTATAATCCTTATGTGTGTTATAAGAAATTACCAATTTCCTGATTCTGTCGTCTTTTGTAGGTTCGATTCATCAAATCTTGAATGGATTCATGACGACTACTCTTTGAAAAGGACTGTAGCTCATCTCCAATCAGATTGGGCAGATTTGCAGACGAAGTGAGCGAGTTTACCAATGAAAATGAGGATCATGTTTTTACAGTTCTCTCTTTCAGAGCAAGGCTCATAGAAAATATGGTTAACGCGTTGACGGAGGCACCGCTTGGAGATGGTATTAATTTAGATAAAGGTCTTCTAGAGTTTACGCAGGTGTGTTTTTTAAACTCTCCTGGATTTTCTAAGAATAATATTCTTGCTATACGGTTTGATTCATGTACAAAAACTCTTTCAGAATGGACCATTACCGGTGCGCTACGTGAAATTCGCCGACAGAAAAACTTGTGACAGTATTGAACAAAAGCGCGAGAAACTTGAGAAGAAAGCAGAAATAGCGAATTCTTCAGGTCAGTTTCAGTGACTTGCTTTGGTGGTTTTTATTCACATCTTTTCAGTGTAACGCGGAGGAATGCAATGATTCACTCCATACCATGTTTTGGCTTATTTGCATGTGAAGGAATTCCGTTAAGCTCTAATGTACCTTGACTGTCCATGTTTGACATGATGTAAATGACTAGAATTTGGAGTTCAAATTCTTCATGCATATATATTTATTGTGAAGGTTTTCAAAATTTTATTTGTTATTTCTTCGTTGTTGTCTGTTTAAATGGTTTATGACTTGGTGAGTGAAATGAGCACATGGGTATCAACCAACTTCATTCTGTTTTTAGTTTTCATTGTTTTCGCACTTGAAATGTTGCGTCAGAGTGAAGTGGGAGACTTTAATCGAAACCTTTCAGATGTCCAGTCGCAAATTGAAGATTCTTGGGTTTAAGAAGACCTTTTTCGATTTTGAAGGTAAAAGTTTATAGCAAAGCAGTGGAAAGTGGTTTTGTGGTTTCATCATGTAGGCGTTTGCCTTTGCAGATGATATGGAATACAAAATTTTCTTCGAAGAACTAGATACTTTATATTTCAAATCAAAATCTAGCGAATGGTGGGAAGCACTGAAGGCAGAGTCGGACGAGGCAAAGTGGACATCGGACTTGTTCCAGGTTTTTCATTTTTTTTTTTTTTTTTTTTTGTTTGTTTTTTTTTTGCTGCTTTCAACCCTCATACGTTACCTTTTCGTTATTTTTGCTTTCTTACTCTTCATTTTACTGTGATCTCTAGTTCTTATCGGGCATTGGAGTGAGAGAACGCTTCCAAACCACGCGGAGTCATTGTGAATGCAGTGCTAGATGTCATCATTAGTAAGAAGTACGACCAGAACGGTAGTGAATTGTCATATGCAATTATTCCGGACTTTTACAATGTTCCTATAAAAGCAATTTACAGAACTTGCACACAGCCAGTTGACGGTGCTCGTTTCGACGAAAAAAGAGGAAGAAAGAAGGAGCCGCGTCACAAACAAAGCAAACCCGTTGATCCTAATCGAGCTGTTAGGTGAGTGGTATCATTATTATTCACTTTCTTTACATTTTTTCTGTGGATTCCAGCTCTACTCTCTTAATTTCTTTGTACTGCGGGTCGTTGTTGTGGTAGATCTTCTGAGAATTTTCGGACGAACGAGGATTTATGCTCAGTTTGCTTATGTAGTCGTCGAGCCAGGTCCGAATTCCTATTGTTTCGCTGACGGGTATGATTACAGAATCTGTGAAACTTCTTCAGATTCTTCGCCACTTTCGCATATTGACACTATAAATTAACGAAAGAATTTTTCCACGAAAGCTTCTCCATGGAGGCTATTTGAGTTTTTCGCCAAGAATACGAAATCGTTCATCGTTATAATCTTTCACTAAGCTAGTTGAAATCTTACGCGCGGGAGTTAGTTTTCTTAATCACGAGTATATATCTACCAGATGGATTGCAACGCAGTTTGCACTCATCACACGGGACTGCACTAGTATAAAACAGTACCTCAGTATTTTTATATTTATATATTAGAAAATTCGCTCACTATGGTGCAATGTCGCCCTGATGGCAGATCACCTCCCTTCCCTCGGCGACCGTCTATCCCTTTTCCTCGGTATCGGAGATTTTCGCGCGGGTGTTATGGGAGGATGTATTAGTCGTATAGTAATGATTTGTGATCCATTAAGATGGTCTTAAGTTTCAAACTAGCTCTTTAATGCTATTTATTGATTTGATTATGTGTGATAGAACTTTTTGTGAGAGTAATCTCGACAAGATTATTTTTCATACCTGGTGGACATGGTTCCGCAGATCACCGTGTTGCGGATTTTAGCGCACGGTCCAGCTCGTTGTCGGCCTACGTTTATGGATTGATTTTGATTCGCATGCGCGATTTCGCGAAAGGGCTTTCGATGCCTTAATTTTTTTGATGCGATGAACGTGTCTTTTTGAGTGTCAATTATTGCCGATCGATGCAGTGCATGGGGCGACGGATGCAGGTCTGGGCAGGGTGGTGTATTAAGAATGTAGGCTGTTTTGGGGGCTGGCGTGGATGTTGCTGATTGGATTTGCTGCTCTTGCATTACGCTCTGTTGGTAGTCAAACGTGCTTCGGGCCTTGGTCTCGCCTCTCTAGTCTCGTTATATTCAGTTTTTTATGTATCATTGGGTTAATGAACCTCCACTCGCCTAATATCGCTCTAGGCTCGCCTGTGGTAGTGTCTGTGTACGTTGAAAGTCACAGAGTGTTAAATGAATCGATGTATGTAGAGAGACGGTATGAAGACGGGATGATGTGATTGTATTTGATTAATGTAATTTTTGTAGGGTTTGTTGTGCTCGTAATGTGTGTTACAACCTAGCAGATTGTCCGTGCTAGACGGGTTGTATCAAGATTTAACGATGTGTGCGTGAAGAGAACTGTGATGGAGCTGGCAGTGAAATGGATCGGGACTATGCGGTCCGCGAGCTGTGCGCATTGGAGCAATTCAGTCTCCAAACCCGGATGAATACGTATGGATTGCAGCAACCCTTATGGTTCTGAGCGCGGAAGGTTTGACCATCATCACAGTGTGCTTTGGTTATGGTGTCCTCGAAGATGTAGGCAGATGAGTAGCATTGGTGTGTTTGCGTGTTCTGTTTCGTAGCTCTGTGTATGGTAGCGTATCGACTAGGAAAGCGTGTCGGTTGTGCGTGTGGGCTGTTCAAGCGGAACGGTTTAGGTAGGTCTTTGGTGCTGCTTATCAAAGCTAGACGCTTCGATAGCCACAAGGCTAGCACGGCTTAGTTGTCAACTTGGGTCCTCTAAATCTGGTGTCTGGCTTCTCGGTATTTTGGTTGAATCACTGGGAGGGTATGTGTCAGCGTGCATGGAGTAACCTTTCCTCTTAGCGGCCTGTCGCGCAGCCTGGCGGTATGTCGCAGGTCAACGCGTAATTCAGAGTATTTCGCACCAGGGCTCGCATATTGTCATCTCGGTGTCGACCGCAGGTGAGAAGAACAAGGATGCGTAGTGGTGCCTTGGTATGATCGATCCTGGGAGTTATGGTCCCATTCCTCTTACTCAATTGGAAGATGCTCGATTTATCGGTTGTTGTCGGTGTATTTGTCTCACTTAGGAGTCTGCGGGCTTCTAAGTTACTATTTTCGCTCTAGTATTTCAGCGTGGTATGGTAGTTTGTGCAGCGAGCCGAATGGCATATGATTATTAGCGCCTGCGTCTGGACTCTCTGACTTCTTCTACCCCAGTTGTCTTAGGGCGAGTGAGAAATTGCGGTAGCTCCTGAACGTGATGATGATGTGTCAAATCGACATTTGATTTTATCTTCTCGATGTCATGTGTTCAGTGTCGATATTATTTCATTTAACAAGGTGGTGTTCGTATTTAGATCTGGTATCGGGTTATATCTATTGGGTGGTTGGGCTAAGTAGTGTTTTTTGTGAGGTATTTATGTATGATTGGGAGGGGTTGCGTGCGCGGCTGTTAGTTCTTTTTACGGCTTTTTTTGATGCCGCGTTCATGATGTATTAGTGAACTGGATCTGCGCAGAAATGTAAGAGTGAAGAGGGGTATTATGATTTCAAAATTGGGCTCGTGTTTTTGCGGGATGGATATTTGGTGATCGCGATGTGAGGGGACCTGATATTAAACACGTCCATTCAAAAAGAGCGCTCCGCCTTTCGGTGCGGGCTTTCGCTTGTTCGGGTAGGCTGAAAGGATGCACCCTAGATATGAGCTCTCCAGGTAACAGATGTTTTCTCGGCTCAAGGGCTGGCTTGTTCTTTGCACGTAGTCTGGCCATGTTTGTGGTTTTTCTGCTGTTTGAGACGAGCCTCTGTCGGTTGTCGGATGTAAGTTAGGGAGTCCGGAATTTAGTGTACTGTTTTGACGTTCCTTTGCCCTTGCGCGGTTAGGTGGGAGGATCGCCGTGAGCTTGTGCCGAGGTTGCAGTTGCTTGGGATCTTGAAACAAATCCGTGCAGATGGGCCGTTCGCGTCTTTTTTCGGCGTCTGTGAAGATTCTGTAACCGAGTTGAGTATTGCCCCGGGCTCGCGAATCGGCGGGGTTGACCCCGTGCGCGGAACCCCACTCAGCTGATATGTCTTTTGTACTTCCTGTGTAAGGTATGGTAGTGGATTTGTGTGGTGCGACGTGGGAGTAACCCGTAACTGTGTTCAAGACAAGTAGAAAAGGAAGGTTCATTAATTAGTTGAAATCAACAACAATTGAACGAGTAGCAAAGATCACTGGAGGTGGATGGTGTCCGAGGGCTAGAAGACCACTGATCAGAGGTCCACAACAAGTGCAGGGCGTAATCCTTTTTCACCATCAAGCCACAAAGGCTTCTCCCTCAAGCCACAAATGTCTCCGAGCCACGGAGGCTTTTTCAACAACCCGAACCACTAAGGCTCTTCCCAACGGGCCACTAAGGCCTACTCAGCGAGCCACTAAGACTCCTTCATCTTGGCCACTAAAGCCGAATCAATGAGCCACTAAGGCTCCCCTCTGATGAGATACTGAGGCTCTTACTACTATGCCACAAAGGTTACTTCCTGAGCCTAGGCCCTTTTTCCTCCGGGCCGTACAGCTCCCACAAAACATGCCACTGACCATGAGGCATGCTGAAGCTGGAACGCTGGATTTAGGAGCCCCAGAGCTCTGGAACTGGAACCGGAGCTGGAACTGCTACAACCCCGACCTTGCGTCCGGACCCTTTTTATTGGAGCATTCCCGCGCGATTAGTTCCCCTCCGACAAGGTGGTTTATCATGACTCCCTGCGATCAACAACCGCCTCCTCCACGACGTAGTGTTCGGACCAGGTGATCTACAACTAAACTCTTGAAGTTGGCATGTCTCTTTACACTTGACTCGTGCCTCCCAGAGTTGCCCCGGACTCTGTGAGTGATTCTTCAGGTGGTACTGAATTTCGTGACGGACGGAGCAACAGGCACAGACAGACTTAGAAGCGGGGTCTTTTAAGTCGCCGCGCTTTTTCAAAACGGTTTCCTGCATATTGTAGGGACGCATGTATGGACCACAAAACC